TCATGGTTTTCTTTAGCTTCACCGTACTGGCCAAGGTCACTGTAAACAGTTCCAAGGTTGTTGTAGCTTGCAGCTACGTCGCCATGGTGTTCAGCATAAATCTCTTTTCTAATGATCAGAGCCTTCTCATAGTATTCTTTAGCTTCACTGTACTGGCCAAGGTTTCTGTAAACATTTCCTTGTATGTTGTACGTGTTCGCTTTTAACACTTTGTCTTCTTTGAAATTGTTAAGAAAATGCATAAAATTGCAGATTGACGTATTAAAAAGATATGCATCCGACGGATTACTAAGGCTACGGCAAAGATCAGCGGCTAAGGAAAGCCACAAAACTAACTTTCTGGGGGTGATTGAATTCACGAACATTTTTGATTTCGTAAAATCGGTGTTAACAATTACATGCAATTCTTTACAATGACTCGTAATTAAACGTAACTTAGCAAACACATGCCTACTTGAATGCAACAGATTTCTGTTTTTTTCCATTAAAGATTGAAAGATTTCAATAACAATAGAAATGCACTGAATTCTATCTGTTGCATCAATTTTAGATGTTATAACTTTCTTGAGCACTTTATGAACGATGTTGTGCGTCCTTAAAAAAGGATATTTGCCGTCTTTGTCTTGCAAACAAGACAATAAAGAAGCTTTGAAAAATTTAGTTTTTATCAATTCTCCTGATTGCCCAGTGATACGTAATTTAACGAAGTCAACAGCGACTTCCATCGGAAGGGACTCAGGTGCACAAAGAGAAAACAAATACAATACTTCTCGAAGAACGTCATTACTTTCTAAAGCTCTCATAATTGCCATTTGGATGGCAGTAGTTGTTGTTTCGGAATACGCTATGTTTTGGTTTGCAAGAAGTGTTTCTGTCGCTTCACGCTCGCCGTGGGAAAGTGCCTCCAAGTAGTTTTTCCAACTGCAGTTCGGAGAACCACTGACCACAATGGTTTGTACATAAAAGGCAGCCGCTGCTAAAGCAAGTGGCTGATACTCGAGAACTTCAGCGACTTTTTCAGCTTGGTTCTGATCCTGAATCTGAGATACCTGTCGTAATAGGTTCACTGCGTCATCGGGATGCATTCCTTTGCTAATAGACTCATGGTAAGTAAGTGGAGCATTGGAGGGTATTGAGCTGCTATCTTGAGTAGTTATTAGCACCTGACCATGGCCCCACTCTTCACTGCCGGTCGGGGGTAGATCTCTACTAACCAATGATAGGTCAACAACATCATCTGCAATTATCAACCAGTTAGAGAATTGCTTCGTCTTTGGATAAATGGCTCGCCTCAGATACTGGATTTTTTCTCTTGGGTTCCCCTTAGTAGAAGTCTCGAGGTTGGTCAGAGTGTATTCTGTTATTCCCAAATGTCTTGCCAGACTGGAATAGGACTCTGCAAGTGAATCCAGGGTTTTTGTATTTAGGGTTGCAACAAACGTAAGACTGTCGTTCTCATGCAACCTCCTATCAAAAATATCCAGTCCCAGTTGTCGAGCTAATTGGCTTTTTCCGCAGCCTGGTATTCCTGATAGATAAATGGTGCTGATAGCTCCATTACTTTCGTTGTAAAGCTCGTCCAGTTTTTTCATGATTCTTTTGACATCACTTGATCGTTGGATGATTTTATGTGATGGCTTGAATGTCAGAGTACAGAAAGAGTCGACTTTGGAATTGATTTCCTGAGTAAGTTTCTACTTCTTCCTGTTTTGTCTGTAATGTTGCTTGGGTCGATTGTAATTCCGAGGTTAGATTTCTTTTTTCTTCTTCTACGGTTTTTAAACCCTCGCCGAGTGTTTTCACTTCGTTCTGCTTTGTCTGTAATGTGGCTTGAGTCAATTGTAATTCAGATGTTAGATTTTTGTTTTCTCGTTTTTGAGTTTTCAAGTCAGTTCTAAGATTATCAGCCTGCATTTTAAGGCTATTTACTTCAGCTGTTGGAAAGTCTGTCTGGTTTTTGATATCATCGACTTCATTTATTGGAAGCTTCAGTGAATTAAAAGCAGCTAACACTCTCGCTACATAATTATGGAATTCAGCATCAGTAAGTTCAACCTCGTTCAAGTGAGCGATATCATTTCGAACCTGTCGGAGATCGTCAACTTCGTTTCTGACTGCTGGACTAAGAGTACTGCCAATGCAATCCGAGTACAAAATAGCAAAAAACAGGCAACTGCAATCCCACTCAGCTGTGTTTCCCCTTTGTATTGTCGCCAAAAGTCGCGCATTGTTTGTGTGACTCTTTCGTGATTCTTTGTTGTAGAAATCGCGGCCATTTTGTGAAATATCTTTCCATTCCCCAAACGGAGTTGTCTTGTAAAGGAAATCCCACTCTTGTTTGAAGACTTTTCGAAGCCCTTGGGGAACTAAGTTGAAGGCGATGTAACATGCTCTAAAATAGTTTAATTGTTCTAAAGTGTACTCCATGTTTGATTCGGATCTAGCAAAAAATGTGCCAAGGAAGAACATCAGGTTAACGATATGTATTTTGTCACTTAATTTTTGTTTTATAATTTAGTTTGAGGGCCGCTAGTTATTCAGTTGCAGTACTGTCCCGTGTTACCCTCGTTAAATAAAGTTGATTATTTATTTATTTATTTATTAGTAAGTTATTTCAGAAAGTATTTCAAGTCAAAGATACGGGAAAAAAATGGTATCCAGCCTTTATCAACTGCCACATCTTTCTTGAGTTAATATGTCAAAGCACAGCAATAGAAAAATCAGAATAATCTAATTGAGGAATAGCTTTCCTCTTTTATGCGTCATTACCAAGACTAAAGTATTACAGTACTACAGTTACAGTTTGTATGAAACTCGCAGCTCATTTCCACGAGAGCAAGCATATTTCCCATTTGCAACGCTTTCTTTCCAGCTCGTCGTGTTCCCTCGCAAGAGGCACTCGATATAAAGCACGTACCGCGGTGCTGCCTGTAAAAACGGCCAATCAAAACTCGATCGATACATTATTTTTAGTAGAAAATGCTGAAAAAACCGTATTGTGATGTTTCTAAACTTAATACAGTTAGCAACCGCTAAGTGGCATTCACAAAGCCGTAGAATGTGAACGTCTGTACTGCATTCTCCAAATTTGTGACCGCAAACAGCTAACATATAATGTACATGTATTTTCAGATGGTTAAACTGAGGTACGTCGCTGGTTATTTACTGCGCATTTCTTACTGCGCATAACAAGATTGCCAAAGTGAAAAAGAGCATCAGAAGTAACATTATTAAAATGAAGTTGACTGAGGAGAAACGCTTTTGGAATTTTCGCTTGCGGTTGTTTCTTGCCGAGATGAGACTGCGTGTGTTGGGAATGTGAGTTCGACTTCCTCAGGAGAACCTTGATAGTGGCTATTAAACTTGTGCTAACTCACTTTGATTTTCATTTTAGTGCCATCTTTATCACATTGCGTCCTAACTGTGATATGTTGATGTAAATTCTGTATAAAAAGATTTTTTAATGCTTTCTTCCCCCTTCCTTTCATACATGCCATTTTAAAACTCGCCCCAGTCCTCGCTCAAAAATCGGAGGAAATACATTTGGGGGCACTTTCTGCAGCTCTATCGCAAAAACGGGTGCGGTGATCCCTATTTTTTATTTCATGATTTTCATAAGAACAGTGCTTCCTTTCAATGAGAAAAAAATTGACATAAATCTATGTTCAGGTTTTTGGCAATTTTACTAAATTGTACGGATTGAGCTATAACGGGTCGAATAGCGCGTGTCCAAATTAAGTCTGCTACTTTGGAGCGTAAAGGAAAAACAAGGGCATTAAAAGGCATTTTTCCTGTACGCAAGTAAGTCGATAAACATTACATTTAACTCAAATTTAGCCTGTGAACAGGCTCTCTGTTTGGGGAAAAAAAAGCGAGGAAAGGGAGGGGGGAGAGAGCCCTTTTTGCTTTTCCCTCCTCCCAGTTTCCCGCTCGACCAAAGGCCTGTTCGCAGGCTAACTCAAATTCTGTGCGATACCACATGCATCATCGAAAAAATATATCCTTTTTGTCTAGTTTTGGGCTGCGCGCGGTTTCTGCCAAAGGGTCCTAAATAGCCGTAATTGTCAGCATTGTGACGTGAAAACGAGCACGGTGACCCCCACTTTTTATTGCATTTTTATCATCTTCTTGACTTGTTACATCAGTGTGCCAAGTTTCATCTACAATCTATGCAAGATTCTTTCGCTAAGGAATCACTTTAAGTCGTATAGGGCGCACCGAATTAATAAAACCCTTTTATGCGCTGGAATCTCATTAACTAGCGCAGGAATATATTAACGCCAATGGCGTCATAGCTTCTTGTCTTTATCTCATGAATATAATGCTGTGGAATCTAATTAAGATAAGGTCGTATGCTATTTTACGGTGGTTTAACCGGTATGACAGGTTTTCTAGTTACTTCAAGGTCGATAAATACCTTGGTTTTCGGTTGGGTGATTAGAAAATAAGAAACGTGTTTATTAGTTAAACATGGGGAAACAAAAGAAATACAGTCAAACCTCTCGGTTCGGACACCTCTCTATTACGGACAGTTCGTTTGGTCCCAGAAATACCAAATAGGGAATCAAACATTGCCTACCTCTATAATACGGACACTTCTGTAAAGTGGACACTTGGTTCTGTCCCTTTGATGTCCGTATTAAAGAGGGTGGACTGTATGGTGGTGATGGTGTAGGGAAAACAATAGAAATGTGGTGGTGGTGGCGGCTGTGAACGAAAACAATCGAAGTGTGGTGGTAGTGGTGGTGGTGGAGGGAAAACAATAGAAATGTGGTGCTGGAGAGAGAACAATAGAAATGTAGAGGTGATGGTGGTAATGAAGGGAAAACAATAGAAATGTATTATGCGAATACAGTCAATCCTTATTAGTACGGACACCAAAGGGACAGAACCAAGTGTCCACTTTACAGAGGTGTCCGTATTATAGAGGTAGGCAGTGTATGATATTTTTGGCATTTCTGGGACCAAACGAACTGTCCGTAATAGAGAGGTGTATTATAGAGAGGTGTATTATTAGAGAGGTGTATTATAGAGGTGCCCGTAGCGAGAGGTTTGACTGTAACGATGATTTTGGCCGGACATTGTCTGTTGGCAGGGCGTTATTTTGAGCCCCGCAGCACAACGTCCAACCTTGAGTAAAGCTTTACTCTTATCCCCTCCCCACACCCCCCCCTCCCCCCTCACCTGCCTCCCCTCCGCCCCTCAACAGGCCGCTAATGGTAGGTTCGTTCAGGGCATTAAAACCTCAATTATTTTTGCGTTAATTGACATATTTTGTATTTAGAAGGATGTATATCTTTCCAAGTCGCTTTTGTAAAAACAACAAAAGCGACTTCGAAAGATATATATCATTGTTAAAGGAGTCTAGAGGGTAGTCTTGACCCAGTGGCAGGTGCACTGATATGCACATATCAACTAACTGTGCACTGCCCAGTTAGTTCTGTGAAGGTCTCGTGAAGTCCAGTAATCGTTAGGTCATCCATCATACCAACTAATCACAAAAGCTCAGGCACTTGATATATAATGCCGTTATTTGTTGGTTATAAATCCCCAGGGGTTTGTAGCCCTAATGGGTCATAGATATTGTGGAATATTACATTATGTATTTGCCATGATTTGCACTAGTACAGTATTTTATAAGATTTGTGAAACGCGTTTTGTAGTAATGCCTCCCTTTATTAGTGAAAATTGATCTTTAAAACCAGCCTTAAGCTCGAAAACTTAACTCAAGCATGCAAACACTCCTTACTTGACTTGCGTACCTCAGAACTATTATAATTATTACTTTATTAATTTCATTTACTCTGTTTTTAAATTTCTCCCTTCACCATTTATTCGAACTTCTTTGGATCACCAGTCCAGAGTTTATAATGAGTTTATGATGAGCGCGGACGGCTGGCTACCCAACAAATACGGTGCTTCATATAATTACGACATATGAACTACTTTCTTGAATATTTACCAGTGCGTAGCAAGGGTTTCCGGAATTCACAAAGCCGTAGAATGTGAACGTCTGTACTGCATTCTCCAAATTTGTGACCGCAAACAGCTAACATATAATGTACATGTATTTTCAGATGGTTAAACTGAGGTACGTCGCTGGTTATTTACTGCGCACTTCTTACTGCGCATAACAAGATTGCCGAAGTGAAAAAGAGCATCAGAAGTAACATTATTAAAATGAAGTTGACTGAGGAGAAACGCTTTTGGAATTTTCGCTTGCTGTTGTTTCTTGCCGAGATGAGACTGTGTGTGTTGGGAATGTGAGTTCGACTTCCTCAGGAGAACCTTGATAGTGGATATTAAACTTGTGCTAACTCACTTTGATTTTCATTTTAGTGCCATCTTTATCACATTGCGTCCTAACTGTGATATGTTGATGTAAATTCTGTATAAAAAGATTTTTTAATGCTTTCTTCCCCCTTCCTTTCATACATGCCATTTTAAAACTCGCCCCAGTCCTCGCTCAAAAATCGGAGGAAATACATTTGGGGGCACTTTCTGCAGCTCTATCGCAAAAACGGGTGCGGTGATCCCTATTTTTTATTTCATGATTTTCATAAGAACAGTGCTTCCTTTCAATGAGAAAAAAATTGACATAAATCTATGTTCAGGTTTTTGGCAATTTTACTAAATTGTACGGATTGAGCTATAACGGGTCGAATAGCGCGTGTCCAAATTAAGTCTGCTACTTTGGAGCGTAAAGGAAAAACAAGGGCATTAAAAGGCATTTTTCCTGTACGCAAGTAAGTCGATAAACATTACATTTAACTCAAATTTAGCCTGTGAACAGGCTCTCTGTTTGGGGAAAAAAAAGCGAGGAAAGGGAGGGGGGAGAGAGCCCTTTTTGCTTTTCCCTCCTCCCAGTTTCCCGCTCGACCAAAGGCCTGTTCGCAGGCTAACTCAAATTCTGTGCGATACCACATGCATCATCGAAAAAATATATCCTTTTTGTCTAGTTTTGGGCTGCGCGCGGTTTCTGCCAAAGGGTCCTAAATAGCCGTAATTGTCAGCATTGTGACGTGAAAACGAGCACGGTGACCCCCACTTTTTATTGCATTTTTATCATCTTCTTGACTTGTTACATCAGTGTGCCAAGTTTCATCTACAATCTATGCAAGATTCTTGCGCTAAGGAATCACTTTAAGTCGTATAGGGCGCACCGAATTAATAAAACCCTTTTATGCGCTGGAATCTCATTAACTAGCGCAGGAATATATTAACGCCAATGGCGTCATAGCTTCTTGTCTTCATCTCATGAATATAATGCTGTGGAATCTAATTAAGATAAGGTCGTATGCTATTTTACGGTGGTTTAACCGGTATGACAGGTTTTCTAGTTACTTCAAGGTCGATAAATACCTTGGTTTTCGGTTGGGTGATTAGAAAATAAGAAACGTGTTTATTAGTTAAACATGGGGAAACAAAAGAAATACAGTCAAACCTCTCGGTTCGGACACCTCTCTATTACGGACAGTTCGTTTGGTCCCAGAAATACCAAATAGGGAATCAAACATTGCCTACCTCTATAATACGGACACTTCTGTAAAGTGGACACTTGGTTCTGTCCCTTTGATGTCCGTATTAAAGAGGGTGGACTGTATGGTGGTGATGGTGTAGGGAAAACAATAGAAATGTGGTGGTGGTGGCGGCTGTGAACGAAAACAATCGAAGTGTGGTGGTAGTGGTGGTGGTGGTGGAGGGAAAACAATAGAAATGTGGTGCTGGAGAGAGAACAATAGAAATGTAGAGGTGATGGTGGTAATGAAGGGAAAACAATAGAAATGTATTATGCGAATACAGTCAATCCTTATTAGTACGGACACCAAAGGGACAGAACCAAGTGTCCACTTTACAGAGGTGTCCGTATTATAGAGGTAGGCAGTGTATGATATTTTTGGCATTTCTGGGACCAAACGAACTGTCCGTAATAGAGAGGTGTATTATAGAGAGGTGTATTATTAGAGAGGTGTATTATAGAGGTGCCCGTAGCGAGAGGTTTGACTGTAACGATGATTTTGGCCGGACATTGTCTGTTGGCAGGGCGTTATTTTGAGCCCCGCAGCACAACGTCCAACCTTGAGTAAAGCTTTACTCTTATCCCCTCCCCACACCCCCCCCTCCCCCCTCACCTGCCTCCCCTCCGCCCCTCAACAGGCCGCTAATGGTAGGTTCGTTCAGGGCATTAAAACCTCAATTATTTTTGCGTTAATTGACATATTTTGTATTTAGAAGGATGTATATCTTTCCAAGTCGCTTTTGTAAAAACAACAAAAGCGACTTCGAAAGATATATATCATTGTTAAAGGAGTCTAGAGGGTAGTCTTGACCCAGTGGCAGGTGCACTGATATGCACATATCAACTAACTGTGCACTGCCCAGTTAGTTCTGTGAAGGTCTCGTGAAGTCCAGTAATCGTTAGGTCATCCATCATACCAACTAATCACAAAAGCTCAGGCACTTGATATATAATGCCGTTATTTGTTGGTTATAAATCCCCAGGGGTTTGTAGCCCTAATGGGTCATAGATATTGTGGAATATTACATTATGTATTTGCCATGATTTGCACTAGTACAGTATTTTATAAGATTTGTGAAACGCGTTTTGTAGTAATGCCTCCCTTTATTAGTGAAAATTGATCTTTAAAACCAGCCTTAAGCTCGAAAACTTAACTCAAGCATGCAAACACTCCTTACTTGACTTGCGTACCTCAGAACTATTATAATTATTACTTTATTAATTTCATTTACTCTGTTTTTAAATTTCTCCCTTCACCATTTATTCGAACTTCTTTGGATCACCAGTCCAGAGTTTATAATGAGTTTATGATGAGCGCGGACGGCTGGCTACCCAACAAATACGGTGCTTCATATAATTACGACATATGAACTACTTTCTTGAATATTTACCAGTGCGTAGCAAGGGTTTCCGGGAGATTCCCTTGCACGAACTTTGGCAAAACTAAATCGTTGGCCAAGCAGGCTACGTACTCTGACAGTTCTGAAACAAGAAGACAGCGTGTTAAAGTATGGGGGTTTGGAAGTCACGAGATTTCATAGATGAGGCCTTCATAATGTTTTATTTCCTTCTATATGTAAATCGCCAGAACTGTTCATGTTTACAGACTATGCGTCTACCGCTGAAGGCCCCTTTGATATCTAATGTGGCTGCCGTTTACTCGTTCAACTCTTTTTTTCAATCGATTACTTAGGGAAGCCAGTCAATCACAGATTGAAACATCTTCTAATGTATTCTCAAACAAACCAGTACTGAAGGCCGCTGAAATTGCTAAGTTCATGGAATTACTTGATCGTCGAGGGCGCATCTGAATGATCAGAGAGATAAACTTCGAATTCAAAGTAACTTTTCGCCTTAAATCCTCGTATTTGCGTTTTTAAGACATCTTTTTTGTTCTGTATTCTTATCGATTCATAGACACTGAGAAGTGCCGAAAGTAAACTGCGATGTGAGCATCGCACTTAAACCTTTGATCAGTTCAGCGTAGAATTTTCGCTTCCAAAATGCAAACTTGCGATTTCACAAAGTTTTCCGTCCCTTTGTCTGTTCCAGGCGTTCGAAGGGTGCTGTAAACTGTAATACGATCAAATAATAAATCTTAATGCTATAGAGCGTTGACTAATTATCGGGGAAGGAATTTTCGGTGATTAAATATGACCTAGTTTCGGCAGACTGACTTAACTTCCTCGGAGTATGATCGAGGTATAAAGAGTGCGTTCTTGAATATTTAATGAGGGTTTTTACTTGTTCTCGCAGTTCAAAAGAAACGAAATACTAGCTCAAAACGGTCAATAACTGAAACACACCTCAGACTGCACTAAAACTGCTAAATTTATAATACCCCTTGATCTCCGTGCATATCTAACAGACCTAGCAAGATCTAAACACATAATCAAAGATAAAATTCGGATTAAATTTTCGCTTCAAATGTACTTACGTTTTTAACACCTTTCAGTCGGTCGTCCTACCTTCTGTAATCGAGGCGTGGTCAGATGATTAGAGAGGTGCGAAAGTAAAGTGCGATGCCATCAAATCTCTGAAGCTGTACTGCTATGGCGTTGACTAATCAAGGAACTTTCGGGGAAACTGAAAGTGACATTAAATGTGCTATCGACTGATTATGACCTTGCTACGGCTGACTAACTTGACCTCCTCTGACTGAGTCTAGGGGAGGAACGTACTTTCTTGAATGGGTGTTTTAAAAGATAAATGCGCGAAAAAGAAAAAAAAAGAAAAAAGAAGAAAACAACGTGCTTTTAGGGCTGTTTTGTCACGTTATAAATGAGGATATTATAACTAACAAGAGCACATCTCTGATTATGGATACTGGCGATATTGGCAAATTTTCCCCAGTCACACCTCCCTCACTCCAGAATGAAAACAAGGAGGGCTGTTCTTAATGTCACATGATGACTATATGGACTTTAGAACAATTAACACATGATCTCCAACCAACTAAATTTACTTTAGTAAACAAAGAAGCGAATTATTGCTGACGGACGAGATAAATTTGCTATTATCCAGCCGGTGTTGCGTGGAACTTGCGTCCCATGCAAGGTAATCCGCAAACCGGAAGTTTAAAAGTTGTTGCTTGGGGAATCTGGAATGCTGGGATTCGGAATCCAGAATTCTAATCCGGAATCACACGAACGATTAGAAATGGAATCCAAGTTCCACCGTCAAGGGATCCAGAATCCAGTGTCTGGAATCCGGAGGCACAGCGCAGATTCCAGAATCTAAGCTATTAAAGATTGTCTTGAATTAGCGTTGTGATGAAATGTTGATCCTACTTATAATAAAGTTAAATGTCAGTTATTTTTCTTGTCCTTTCCTTTTCGTTTTATTCTTTCTTGTTTATTTACCCACTTCTTCTCTTAACGGGCGTGGCTTAAATACTTTTTGAAAAAGTGATTTCCGAATTTTCTCAGAAAAAAAAAACTGGAGCACCCGTGATGGACGAGGGACCATTACAGTCCAGAGTTTATAATGAGTTTATGATGAGCGCGGACGGCTGGCTACCCAACAAATACGGTGCTTCATATAATTACGACATATGAACTACTTTCTTGAATATTTACCAGTGCGTAGCAAGGGTTTCCGGAAGATTCCCTTGCACGAACTTTGGCAAAACGAAATCGTTGGCCAAGCAGGCTACGGATACGGTACTCTGACAGTTCTGAAACAAGAAGACAGCGTGTTAAAGTATGGGGGTTTGGAAGTCACGGGATTTCATAGATGAGGCCTTCATAATGTTTTATTCCCTTCTATATGTAAATCGCCAGAACTGTTCATGTTTACAGACTATGCGTCTACCGCTGAAGGCCTCTTTGATATCTAATGTGGCTGCCGTTTACTCGTTTAACTCTTTTTTTCAATCGATTACTTAGGGAAGCCAGTCAATCACAGATTGAAACATCTTCTAATGTCTTCTCAAACAAACCAGTACTGAAGGCCGCTGAAATTGCTAAGTTCATGGCATTACTTGATCGTCGAGGGCGCATCTGAATGATCAGAGAGATAAACTTCGAATTCAAAGCAACTTTTCGCCTTAAATCCTCGTATTTACGTTCTTAAGACATCTTTTTTGTTCTGTATTCTTATCGATTCATAGACACTGAGAAGTGCCGAAAGTAAACTGTGATGTGAGCATCGCACTTAAACATTTGATCAGTTCAGCGTAGAATTTTCGCTTCCAAAATGCAAACTTGCGATTTCACAAAGTTTTCCGTCCCCTTGTCTGTTCTAGGCGTTCGAAGGGTGCTGTAAACTGTAATGCGATCAAATAATAAATCTTAATGCTATAGAGTGTTGACTAATTGTCAGGGAAGGAATTTTCAGTGAAATTGAAAGTGAGATTAAATATGACCTAGTTTCGGCTGACTGACTTAACTTCCTCGGAGTATGATCGAGGTATAAAGAGTGCGTTCTTGAATATTTAATGAGGGTTTTTACTTGTTCTCACAGTTCAAAAGAAACGAAGTACTAGCTCAAAACGGTCAATAACTGAAACACACCTCAGACTGCACTAAAACTGCTAAATTTATAATACCCCTTGATCTCCGTGCATATCTAACAGACCTAACGAGATCTAAACACATAATCAGAGATAAAATTCGGAGTAAATTTTCGCTTCAAATGTACTTACGTTTTTAACACCTTTCAGTCGGTCGTCCTACCGCCTGTAATCGAGGCGTGGTCAGATAATTAGAGAGGTGCTAAAGTAAAGTGCGATGCCATCAAATCTCTGAAGCTGTACTGCTATGGCGTCGACTAATCAAGGAACTTTCAGGGAAACTGAAAGTGAAGTTAAATGTGCTATCGGACTGATTATGACCCGCGCTACGGCTGACTAACTTGACCTCCTCTGACCTGAGTCTAGTGGAGGAGGGTACTTTCTTGAATGGGTGTTTTGAAAGGTATACGCGCGAAAAAGAAAAAAAAGAAGAAGAAAACAACGTGCTTTTAGGGCTGTTTTGTCACCTTAAAAATGAGAATATTATTTCAGAGATGAGTCCTAAAGAGAGCACATCCCTAATTATGGATACTGGCGATATTGGCAAATTTCCCCCAGTCACACCTCCCTCACTCCAGAATGAAAACAAGGAGGGCTGTTGTTAATGTCACATGATGACTATATGGACTTTAGAACAATTAACACATGATCTCCAACGAAGTAAATCTACTTAGTTAACAAAGAAGCGAATTATTGCTGACGGACGAGATAAAGTTGCTATTATCCAGCCGGTGTTGCGTGGAACGTACGTCCCATGCAAGGTAATCCGCAAACCGGAAGTTGAAAAATTGTTGCTTGTGGAATCTGGAATGCTGGGATTCGGAATCCAGAATTCTAATCCGGAATCACACGAACGATTAGAAATGGAATCCAAGTTCCACCGTCAAGAGATCCAGAATCCAGTGCCTGGAATCCGGAG